TTGGAGCCAAGTGTCGAAGGCTTGGAGGGCTGCAGGAAGCAGAAGAGGTAGGAGGGGCACAAGCCCTGGGAAGCACTCCAGGCCCAGCCCCCCTTGCCACACAGCTGGGCACTGCTCCTGCAGAGAAAGGGTAGGCAACTCCCTCCCTTCAGCCTGGGCCACCAGTAGGGACTGGTTCCTTAGGGCTCAGCTGTGGGCAGGCCTCCCTGGGCAGGCCTGTATTCTGGGGCTGTCTCTCTGGTGTAGTTGGCTGTGGGAGCCTTGGGTCCCTCACTGGCTTGGCTCAGCAGGAGGGATGTGAGCAGCTCAGCAGCTGGTCTTTCTGCTCCTGAAGGCCCAGGCGTCTGGCAGGGTTGGTTGGTCTTGCTGGCTGTTCCCTCCATGTGGGCCCCTCTGGTGTGATGGGGACAGGGAGGGACTTCCCCTTGCCCAGCACTGGTGTTGGCTGAGGTGGGTGCTGAGTCTCGGAGAGTGGCATGGAGACCAGACAGGGCTGGGTCTGCAAGCCTGAGGCTGCCACCCTGAGCTCAGGCTGGGGACGTGCTCAGAGGTGTTGGGAGGATCTGGGGTGAGTGCCCTGTGGCCAGGACTAAAGGGGCTGCACCCTCCTGTCCGTCCCTCGCAGATCTTGAGCAATGCCCGGTTATTTCTGGAGAACCTCATCAAGTGAGTGCCTTTGCCAGGTCCCACCCCTGCCCCACCCATGGCCTGTCCAGGCCCTGCCCCATAGCCCCACCTGCCACCCACTCAGGCCCCCATCCCTCCACTCCCAGGTATGGCATCCTGGTGGACCCCATCCAGGTGGTTTCTCTGTTCCTGAAGGATCCCTATAGCTGGCCTGCCCCGTGCCTGGTTATTGGTGAGCTGGGCTCTGAGGAGGGCCTTGGGTGGGAATCAGGCTGACGTGGCCTTGAACCTGTGCCTTGGTGCTTCTGTCCACAGCGGCCAATGTCTTTGCTGTGGCTGCGTTCCAGGTTGAGAAGCGCCTGGCGGTGGTAAGCAGTGCCCCTCACCTGTGTATGCTTACCCTGCTGTGTGCGCTCCTGGGAGGAGCTGCTCCCGGGCCTGGCAGCCCCTCCCCCAGGCAATAGGAGCCCTGGTTGAGTACTCTGCCCCCCACTCCAGGGTGCCCTGACGGAGCAGGCGGGACTGCTGTTGCATGTGGCCAACCTGGCCACCATTCTGTGTTTCCCAGCGGCTGTGGTCTTACTGGTTGAGTCTATCACTCCAGGTGCGCCCCCATCCCACCCTGCCCAGCTGTCTAGGGCCAGCCACGGGCGTGGCCTCTGGCTGTGGCCCTGTGGAGGCCTGAGCCCACCTCTCCCACAGTGGGCTCCCTGCTGGCGCTGATGGTGCACACCATCCTCTTCCTCAAGCTCTTCTCCTACCGTGATGTCAACTTGTGGTGCCGCAGGGCCAGGGCCAAGGCTGGTAAGGGGCTGCTGGGGGCTGGGGCTGCCCGCTGGGGGGCTGGGCAGCAGCAGGGCCCCACTCCCCGCCTCCCACTCTGCTGTGTTCGTAGCCTCTGCGGGGAAGAAAGCCAGCAGCGCCGCTGCCCCGCACACCGTGAGCTACCCGGACAACCTGACCTACCGCGGTGAGGACCTCTGTGGGGCTGAGGTGCGGGGCACAGGCCGGGTCTGTTCTGGAACCAATCCCCTATGTCCATTCCAGATCTCTATTACTTCCTCTTCGCCCCCACCTTGTGCTACGAGCTCAACTTTCCCCGCTCTCCCCGCATCCGGAAGCGCTTTCTGCTGCGACGGATCCTTGAGATGGTGAGGTTGGGGGCTGGGGGCGGCCACTGGAGGCTGGGGTCCTCCAGGTTCGCCAAGGCCTCAGCTGGCTGCTCTCTGGTTCCCCCCTAGCTGTTCTTCACCCAGCTTCAGGTGGGGCTGATCCAGCAGGTAAGTGGGGTGGGGTGGGGTTGGGTGCAGCTGGGTGTGGCTGGGAGCTGACACGGTGCCCTCCTTTGCAGTGGATGGTCCCCACCATCCAGAACTCCATGAAGCCCTTCAAGGTGAGCGGCCCGGGTGCTCCTGTGGCTGGGGTGGCTGGGGGGTGGCTGCCCAGGTGCTCCTGTGGCTGGGGTGGCCGGGGAGTGGCTGGGAGCACGGCTGGCTGAAGGGCTTGTGTCTGCAGGACATGGACTACTCACGCATCGTCGAGCGCCTCCTGAAGCTGGCGGTGAGTGCGGACAGGTGGCGCGTGGGCGGGACAGGAGGGGATGGTGGCATGTGGGGGAAGGTTCTAGAACTTGGTGCCCACCCTCACCCCCTGCCAGGTCCCCAACCACCTCATCTGGCTCATCTTCTTCTATTGGCTCTTCCACTCCTGCCTGAATGCAGTGGCTGAGCTCATGCAGTTTGGAGACCGGGAGTTCTACCGGGACTGGTGGTGAGTGTCCCTGGGGTGTCCCTGGGGGCTGGGATGGGCCATGGTGTGCTCTGATCCCCCTGTGGTCTCTTGGCCCCTAGGAACTCCGAGTCTATCACCTACTTCTGGCAGAACTGGAACATCCCTGTGCACAAGTGGTGCATCAGGTAGGTGGGGTGTGTGTGTGTGTGAGATGTGGAACATGGCCGTGACCCTGAACCCCTTTCCACACTCCCCCTCTGCAGACACTTCTACAAGCCCATGCTTCGACGGGGCAGCAGCAGGTGGATGGCCAGGATAGGGGTGTTCCTCGCCTCGGCCTTCTTCCATGAGGTCAGTGCTCTGTGGGACGTCCTGCCTCATCCCTGGGCAGGGGTATGCCCACGGCAGGGATGGCTGGTTCCCCCTCCCTGACATCTCTCCCTCCCACCTCAGTACCTGGTGAGCGTCCCTCTGCGAATGTTCCGCCTCTGGGCGTTCACGGGCATGATGGCTCAGGTGAGCGACCCCTACGTGGCCTCCTCACCCACTTACCCCCTGCCTGAGCCCTTGGGCTGACCCCCCCATGCCCAGGGACCCTGAAGCCCCCAGCCCTGTGGTCACCATGGCTGACTGACTTGGCCCCTCATTCCCCAGATCCCACTGGCCTGGTTCGTGGGCCGCTTTTTCCAGGGCAACTATGGCAACGCCGCTGTATGGCTGTCGCTCATCATTGGACAGCCAATAGCCGTCCTCATGTACGTCCATGACTACTACGTGCTCAACTATGAGGCCCCGGTGGCAGGGGCCTGAGCTGCACCCAAGGGCCTGGCTTCTCACTGCCACCTCACACCCGCTGCCAGAGTCCGCCTCTCCTCCTGGGCCTGGAGTGCTGGGGATGGGCCTGGCTGCACAGCACCCTCCTCCTGTCCCAGGGAGGCCTCTCTGCCCCTATGGGGCTCTGTCCTGCACCCCTCAGGGATGGCGACAGCAGGCCAGACACAGGCTGATGCCAGCTGGGAGTCTTGCTGACCCTGCCCCGGGTCCGAGGATGTCAATAAAGTGCTGTCCAGTGACCTCTTCAGCCTGCCAGGGGCCTGGGGACTGGTGGGAGGTATGGCCACACCCACAAGGGTGATTGCCAGAGCCATGTGGACAGCTGTTCCAGGGGCCAGGAGGCCTGACGTCCCCGGACCTGCTGGGGAGAGGCAGCTCCACTGCAACAGGGTGGGCATGGCCGGTAGGGGGAGTGCAAGGCCAGGCAGACACCCCCATTCCCCACACTCCCCTACCTAGAAAAGCTCAGCTCAGGCATCCTCTCCTGGCGCCACCCCTGCTGGGTGTGAGGGAATCGGCACTCTGGCTTGGTGCAGGATGAGCCTGCTTGGCCGACTTGCACCCACCGTGCTCAGCCTCAGCTCGGGAAGAGGTCGCCGTGTGTGTGTTGGAAGTGGGCTCCAGCCAGGGTGGCCCAGGGATGGGCAGTCCACAGGGCCTTTCTGGTGTGGGTCTGGTGAGCCGAGGGGCTACAGTACACAATGGCTATGTCCATGGCTATTTGCCTTGGGGCAGGGCTCAGTTTGGCAGCCTCTCTCCTTCACTTGGAATCTGGTGTGCAGGTGGCTCTCAGCTGCCCTCCACGAGGTTGGGACACCCTTGATCCCTAGGCCTGCCTTGCCCTCTGCTCTTCTGGCACCAGGCTGGGCAGTGCAGACAGTGCAGCCCCACAGCCTTCAGGACACCTTGTTTCCAGGCCCTGCAATCCACCAAGCTGGACAGATGGGGCACCCCTTAGTCACAGTGGGAGGTCAGGGGTAACCCCAGGGCCCTGCTGCTGCCTTACCTTGCTGGGGTGACTGCTTGATTAAAGATCCCAAGACTGGACCAGGCCCTGGTGCCCCCAGACCTGCAGCTATGGCCCAACAAGGCAGGTGTTTGAGAAGGCCCTGCACAGGGTCCCAGGACTGCACTGGGGGCCTCATCAGCAACCTGCTGGACTGTGGTGGTGTGGGGGGAGAGCGGGCTACCTTGGTGGTACCCTTCCTCTACCCCAGTGGGGGCTGGTGGGCCCTGAGGTGGAGGCATTTCCTTGGGCCCTGCTGAGGATGGTGGTAGTGGGTGAGCTCCTGGTAGGGGGACAGGTGTGGGTTCGATTCCTCCATCCCACATAGGCTCCTGTGCCTCTCCCCACCTGTTGGCCAATGGAGCTCAAGAACAAGCTGTTGCTGCCAGATAAAGAAGCAAAGCCTGCTCCACTGCCCACCCCAGGCCCCCTTCCCTTCCTCCACCAGGCTGAGTGGAAAACCCTGAAGCTATGGGACAGGCTCCTGTTGCCTGTGCCTACATAGGAGGGCGCTGGTTATGGCAGGAAGACAGTGTGCCTGCCCTGCATCCCCTGTCCCTGAGTGCAAACACCTTGGGAATGGGGTTCCTGGTGGTCCTCTGACAACCAGAGACCTGCAGGGCCAGGGTGCCCACCCCGGTCTCTGGTCCTGCGGAGTTGGGCAGGCATGGGGCTAGCTGCAAGCGTCCGCCTTCCCCCAGGAGGCCACTGCAGCCCAGCCCTTCTGAGCCCTGGGCCCCTCCTCACTGCACCCCCATCCACCGTACTACCCTGGGACAGAGGAAACACATGGGAGGCCACCGCATAGAGCCTGTCTGTTTATAGATCTCTGCCTGTCTTGTCCGTCCGTCCGTCCATCCACCTGTGTGTATATATCTGTATATCTCTATGGAACAGGGAATGGGACAGTTGTGTAAAAATCCAAAATACAATTCTGATTATGAACAACCTGCAGGGTCAGTCCAGGTGTGGCTACGAAGCCCCAACCAAACCACAGGACACGGGGTTGGGGGAAGGCAGACTGGCAGGCCGGGGTGACCCTCCTGACCAGAGGTGCTGCCCAGACCTGAGCCCCTGTTTGTCCTACTGGGGCTGTGGTGGCCAACCCACCAGTGCTCAGGACCTCGAGGCTGCCTCTCCTCCCCAAGGCCAGCCCTGCAACTGGGGGCGGGGGTGGGCAGGCCACGGCTGGCCCAGCTCCTCCGGGGCATCTAGGAGACAGTGGGGTCCTTGGCTTTGGGAGGCTCTGAGCCTGTCAGCAGGGAGATGGTGGGGTCCTCTGCGAAGCCGTCCCCTTCGGAGAAGTAGGAGCCCTCCCCCAGCTCAAACAGCACCGGCAAGTCGCTGCTCCCGGTGTCCACGGAGCCGGGGTCGAGCAGGAACAGTGGCTGCGCTGTGTAGTGCACCAGCTGCTTCCCTGCGGGGGTGGGGGTGTCAAGGCGGTGGGGGGTCGGGGCAGAGAGGGGGCTGGTGGGACTTGGCTCACCTGAATCCGGGCTGCTGTTCTCCGCCTCGGGAGGCCTGGGGGGCTCCTGGGGAGACAGGAGCTCTTGGATCTGTGGGGTGGAGATGGTATCGTGAGCGCTCCTGCTGGTCTTGTTCCCCCTCACCCCCCGCCTGCCTACGCACACTAGCCAGGCTGCTGTCAAGGTCAGGCAGGCTCATGTCGGGCACGGTCACCGAGGGGCTGAACAGCTGCGGAGGAGGGAGGGAAGTCAGAACAGCACCTGGCGGCGGGGCGGGGCGGGGCGGGGCGGGGCGGGGCGGGGCGGGGCGGGGCGGGGCGGGGCGGGGCGGGGCGGGGCGGGGCGGGGCGGGGCGGGGCGGGGCGGGGCGGGGCGGGGCGGGGCGGGGCGGGGCGGGGCGGGGCGGGGCGGGGCGGGGCGGGGCGGGGCGGGGCGGGGCGGGGCGGGGCGGGGCGGGGCGGGGCGGGGCGGGGCGGGGCGGGGCGGGGCGGGGCGGGGCGGGGCGGGGCGGGGCGGGGCGGGGCGGGGCGGGACAGGACGCGACTCACGTCCAGCAGGGCGCTGGTGTCCACGCTGAAGCCGTGGCTGCTCAGCATGGTCTGCAGGTTGTCCAGGTTGGAGTCCATAGCATCCAAGTGATCACTGAGCTCATTCCTGGCCCGGGATGAGGGGGTAGCTGAACCAGTGCCCCAGGCCCCACACCCCGATGCGCTCCTGTGGGAGAAGGGCTCCCCTTGACTGTATCCCCCAGGCCGCACCCCCGTGTATGCCTGCACAGGCTGGAGGGGACAGTGCATTCGAGGACTGCCTGGAAGGTGGTGGAGGCTCTGTGCCCTCGGGTGCGGCTGGGCCCATGCTGGGCATCCCTTCGCCATGAGGCCTGGAGGCCTTGGTGGCAGAGGACCCAGGAGAAAAGGGGCGTATTCAACTCTAGCACGAGGATCAGGGATTTCAGTTTTCAGGGTTGGTGAGGTTTCCTGTTACACTGGGAAAACGGCTGGGGCTGTGCTCAGTGTGTGGGTGGCTCAGTCCCTGCCCTGGTGCTGCTGTGGGAATGAGACCCACGGTCTGGTGGCTGTGACCAAGAAAGCACTAGGCCATGGGGCACACCTGGGCCATGGGACAGGCAGCCAGGCTGGGTACCAGAGGTGCCCTGGAGACCCCGCCTGGCAGGAAGTGCAGTCAGCACCACAGTTTGGATCCTGCCAGCACCAGAGGCTGTGCCAGGCCAGGGAGACCTGTCCCTGTCACAGGCAATGACCACAGGCCCATGGCCAGGGGAGCCATGATGACATTGAGCCCCAGCCACAGAGGAGCTTAGGACGATGCCGCCCAGACCCGATGCTCATGCCCCGTCAGGCTGGGTCTGGTCCACGGCTGTGTGGGAGGGCCCGAGCTCTGGCAGGGCCCTCCTCCCACCCCAGTGGGGTCAGCGCTAACCCTGGCTGGACTCGGCCATGCGGAGAGGAAGAGGGGCAAGGGAAGAGGCGGGCGACCCCAGACATCTGTGGAGTGCGAGCCAAACTGCAAGATACAAAAACAAGAGCCCCCATTGCAGGCAGGGGCTGGGCAAGCCTGGGGGTGTGGAGGCCAGGCCCTGCTCACCATCTCCTGCCATCTGTCTGGGCAGCACGACCTGCCAGGACCTGTGGCCTGTGGCGAGAGGGTGGCAGCAGCAGGAGGGGTGGCTGAGAGCAGGGCCCAGCAGCCTGCCCGGACACGCCCTTGGCTTCTGTGGCGTTTGGGATTGTGGGGTGATCTGTTTGGCACCTGTCTCCCTCCCCAGCCCCGAGCTCCGAGGTTAGGGGTAGGGTCCTGCCTTGCCAGCTGCCCTGCTCAGCCCTCTGGGACAGTCTGAGCTGAAGCCCAGGGCTGTGCCTCCAGGGGCTGTGGGTGGGGTGGCACTCACTTGTCCAGGCAGGCTACGCTGAGGCACTTTTCAGGGGTGGAGGTGGGCGGGGGTGAGGGAGGCCGGCCCTCGGTGTCCGTGTGGCCCCTGGCGTCCGTGAGGGCTGTGGCGGAGGCGGGGGTAGGTTCACTCTCCCGCAGGATGGAGTCAATGAGGGCGGTCGGGGACAAGAGGGTGTCCACGGAAGATGGGCGCCCGGGACTCGCCTCCTCTACCCGGGGGCTCTGAGGCGGGCTGGGGGGCTCCTCCTTGACACGCACCAGGGGGCTGCTAGACAGGGGCCTGGACACGAGGGGGGCCACGTTAGCTGGTGTCTTGGCCAGCCCCACCTCATCCCCAACTCTGCCCTGGGCCCACAGGGGCTCGCCTCGTTGGGGGACAGGATGGCTGGGGTGATGCGGCCCCCACCTCTCGTCTATGCTCCCGCCGGGGGAGGCCACGGGGCTGGCAGGAGCCAGCTCGGTGATGTCGGAGATGATGGGTCCGGAGTTGGCCACAGAATCGGGGGCGTAGAGGCTGGAGCTACTGTAGGCCGGGGAGGGGGCCTGCAATCAAAGACAGGAGGCTCGTGCAGCGCCGGCCAGGGCAACACACCCCACTGCGCCCGCAGGCCTGGACGGGGGCCCTGCCTCCAGCACTCACCGAGTAGGGGCCCGAGCCGTGGACGTGCTCCAGGGAGAACTGCCGGCCGTACTTGGGCATGGAATGTGCTGAGCCACTGTCGTTCAGCATCAGGGGGCTGTGGGGAAAGGTGCAGGTCAGCCGCCACCCCCCACCTCGGGGCACAGCTGACAGAGGAGGAGGACGGCCCTGGGCCCTGGGTGGCGGATGCAGGCGTCCCCAAAACCTCACATCTTTCTCTTCACCCCCAGGATCCGGTTTGACTGCACCAGTGAGATCAGGAACTGAATGAGCTGTGGGGAGAGAGGACACAGTCACCCCGGCCCTTGTGGGGCCCCCGCCGGCCCTCTGGCCCTGCCCCCACCTTGTTGACGACTTTCTGTTGCTGGGCATGCTTCTGCCGAAGGCTGGCCACCTCCCGCCACAGAGCCTCATTCTCACTGCAACAGACCAGGCTGGGTCAGTGGGGCCCGATCCCAGGAGCCCCAGGGCTGAGGGAGCCCCACAGACCCTCCCCGTCCACCAGGCAGGAGCAGGGTTAAGTATGACCATGTCTGGCCTGGCCCACCCCAGGATGAGAACTGCTGTGTGGAGGGCTGGGGGCCAGGGCCAGGGCTTGCTGGTCCCACTGCCCCCTCCCTGATAGGAACACCTGGTGTCAGGTAGGGTGTTGGGGACGGGAGCACCAGGATCCAGGTGCACCCAGATCCTGGCATCCATCCTGGCCAACACCTGGAGGGCTGTCTTGGACACAGGCCAGGAGCAGACCCTTGAGCCGCCCTTCTGAGGCCTGAGAAGCCAGGTTGAGGGAGGACGTTCTTCAGGTGCGACACCGGCTGTCCCGGGTCCCGCAGGTGCTCAGGGCCAGGCCTGGAAGTGGCTCAGAGGTGGCCCCACGGGGTGGGGGAGAGCTGTCCCCAGCCAGTTGAGCAGGGCCGTGAGCGCGCTCCTGCTGCTCTGGGAGGCTGAGCCCCGCCAAGCCTGTGAGTCTTCTTGGGGCCAACTGGGGTTGGGGTTCCCGCATGCCTGGAGCCCCAAAGTGGATGCGAGACCTGAGCCAGCCTTCCGAGGTGGGCTTGCCTCAGTTTCTCAGGTGCCACCAGGTGTCAGGCCCCTGCTAAGGTTTCCCCAGAGCCGCAGGGTCCTGGTGAGGAGGGGCTGGGGGGCTAGCTCCATAGGCCCAGGCACGTGTGGGGCAGAGGTTCCAGGAAGGGCCTGAGACGCGTCTGACCCCAGGCCCGAGGCGGGTGGGATGGGTCTGCTGTGCAGGGCTTGTCCTCAAAAGTAGGCTGGTAGGTCCCGCCAAGCTCGGAGCCCAGGCAGAAGCCAACACCCCGGGAGGCCAGGATGGCCCAGAGAGCGCTGGGGACGTGCAGAACAGGGACCCTCTGGACCCCCTTCTGCATGTGGAGAATGGCCGGTCCCAGCAGCCATGGGCGGCGGGGCTGGGGCAGAGGCCCAATAGATCTGGGTGGAGCAGGAGGTGGGGCTGAGCATCTGGAGCCCTGGACAGGGCCCTGCCCCCACAGCACCCGCTGCAGCCCACAGTGCTGGTGTGGGACCTACTGCTTCATGGCCAGGAGCTTGGAGTCCATGCACTCCTGCTTCCCCTTCATCAGCTGCACGTCCGTCAGCAGCTTGGTGACACTGTCCTGACGGATCTTTATGTCTTCACTCTTCAGGGTGGACACCTGGATCCCCGAGAGGGACAGGGGTCACTGAATCGGCCTGGGAGCTTGGCAGGCTCAGGCTCGTCCACTGCAGCGGGTCCCTCAGGAAGCGGGCAGGCTGGGGTGGGAGCTCTCAGGGAGGGCCAGGCGGGGAGAGCCATGGCAGGCGAGACTGGGCGAGGGTGCGGGGCCGGCACTCACACTGGTCACTTTCCTCTTGATGTTCTCAAGGAGCTGCTCCTGGCCGCGCAGGAAGCACGGGTGCTGGAACTCCGTGTCGTCTCTCTCTGGCTTGACCAGGCCACCCTGCTCGATGTGGACCACTTTCCGGAAACCATCTGCACATAGAAGGGAAGGGGGCGGCTCTGCTTCAGGGTGGGACCAAGACCCCTCAAAGAGCGGCCACTGCCCTGGGAGGCTGCTGCGGAGCTTGGCCACGGTCAGACCCCACCCTGCCCCTCAGAGCCCACGCCTGGTGGCCGGGTGGTCTTGGTCTAAGTGAGACCCTGTGTCCCCACAGGGCTCCCCATGCCCGATACACATGGAGTACAGCTCGGGCTTCACGGTTCTTCCCTGGGGACCCCAGGTTCATACCCACGAGGACCCTCCCCCTTGGAAAAGGCAGCTGCCCCCGGCCCCCAGGCTTGCTGGGTTCCATGGCATGCCCTTAGCCAGCACAGGGGGCTCCGTCCTTCATCCACAGGGTCCTCCTGCTGGGGTCCCACCGTCTGCAGGTCCGCCTCCCGCACCTCGGAGGCGGCACTCACACATGTTGAGCTGCCGCACGAAGCTGGCCATGTTGTTGTGCTTGAAATACTTGGGCAGCACCTCCTTGGCAAACTGGCCCTGGTCGAACACATGGAAGCTGTTCCCACTCTGAAAGGGAGACACACGGTGGGTCACGCGTGGTGGCAAGAGGCAGCGCGCCCAAACCACCCTTCCCCACGCCACCCCTTCTGGAGCGCAGGCAGTGCACGTTCCACCTGATGGGGCTGGGGCCATGGGAGGCCCAGGGGGCTGGGGGGAGGCGAGTTCGTTCCTGGGACCACCTGCCACACGGGCCTCATCTGTGCAGCGTGACCTGCATCCTCACTGTGAGGCCCAGGACTGGGCGGTGGGCAGATGCGGGGCCTTCCTCACAGCCGGGAAGCCCCTCCCCAGGGGTTCTAGAGAAGGCCACGTTTCCACTCACAAAGCACCTGCCGCACTCTGGCCACGCCCACGGGACGGGGTTTAGCTTTACCCAGGGGTTCTAGAGAAGGCCACGTTTCCACTCACAAAGCACCTGCCACACACTGGCCACGCCCATGGGACAGGCATTTAGCTTTATCCAGGGGTTCTAGAGAAGGCCACGTTTCCACTCACAAAGCACCCGATGCACTCTGGCCCATGCCCACGGGATGGGTGTTTAAGCAGGACATTTCCCTTAGGAACAGCAAAGGAAATTGAGCCCTGATTTCATTACTCCAGAGGAAAACACATTTGCGTTCAGAAATCCAAATTCATTCTTGTTTTGTGACGTGAGACGAGAAACAGAGACAGTCAAACACTGCATATATTCTTCCTCTTCCATTTCTCTCCCAAGCTCAGGCCCAGAGCTATCAGGAGGAGCTGGCGAGGGAGGCATCCCTGCTGGCCGTGGCCACAGTGGCTCAGAGGGGGCACTGAAGGCTTAGGGGACAGCGAGAAGCCCACATGGCAGGGAATGGGGGCCTGAAGCAGGGCCAGAGAGAGGTGAGGGGTGTCTGCACAGGAAGGGGCGGCTGACCCAGTGAAGAAACGAGAAGGGCAGTGGGGCAGATTTATCCTGCCAGGGAGGGGAGCTGCAGATGCAAACAGGGAAAAAAGCCAGAAAAACCCCCGTGGTATGGCACTAGAAGTGGAGAACCGCTTTCCAATATAGAGAGATGCGAAATAAACAGGGATGTGCATGCGTTAGGGAGGGAACCAATCACAGAAAGGACTCAAGGCAGCAGGAGAGAGAGGGTGAAAAACGCCAAGCCAACTTTCCAGAACTCTGAAAATTAACCAAAGAATTACAGTAGCATGGGGAGCATTTATTCCAGAAAAACAGCTGAATCTTAGTAAGAACGGTGGGCTGTGTGAACTTTTTTTTTTTTTTCCTCTGAGACAGGGTCTTGCTCTGTTGCCCAGACTGGAGTGCACTGGCATGAACACGGCTCACTGCAGCCTCCGCCTCCCAAGTTCAAGTGATTCTCGTGCCTCAGCCTCCCAAGTAGTTGACTACAGGCGCCACCATGCCCGGCTAATTTCTGTATTTTTAGTAGAGATGGGGTTTCACCATGTTGCCTAGGCTGGTCTTGAATTCCTGACCTCAAGTGATCCGCCCACCTCGGCCTCCTGCGGTGCTGGGATTACAGACGTGAGCCGCTGTGCCCGGCCAGGCTTTGCGGCATTTTAACGTGCCCTATTCCCACTCCATGCGCAGCTCTGAAGACCAACAGCTGCAGTCCTCGTGGGAACCAGTGTCCTGGCAGCTGCTGCGGGGCGGGCCAGGGCTTGGGCTCCTCCCAGGCCCCATTCCCAGAGGCCTGGCAGCATCTGCCTAGGAGTCCACGCACAAGGCTGTCTCTGATTTGACTTGAAGCTCTCCTGAATAAAAAAGCTGTTCACCTAGGTGTGTTTGTTGAAACATTTAGAGGTGATTTTTGAACGCTGGGGCTGCCTGAGGCAGTGCCTGGCAGCTGGGGAGAAGGAGGCGCCACTAGGGGCTCTGAAAAGCTCTGAGATATTCCAGGACATCTCGCAGCCGTGTCCACGTGTGAGCCAGCCCTGAGCTCTCGCTTCTGGCTGACCTTGAGCTCTGCGTAAGCAGGAAGGGAAGCACAGTCGGGTTGTCCATGGCCTGGCTGAGTGCTGAAGGCGTCCCCAGCACACACACAGCCCCCAAAAAGACGGAGACTCCAAGCCTCGAGAACATTTCCGCCCCGTCCCGACCCACATCAGTGAACTGAACAGAGACTGCAGTGGCCATCAACAAGAAAGAACAGAACCTTTACAGAAGCAGTCCTGAAAAGCTACTGGGCTGATAACCACAACAAACAGCAGCAGTGACAAATCCTGGGAGGCGGGGGAGCCCGAGCTCCAGAGCTGCCACTCTCAACCTATCAGAGTTCCGGTTCTCCAGCCGGCTGTGCTGGCTCACGCCTGTGGTCCCAGCACTTTGGGAGGCCACGGCGGGTGGGTTGGTTGAGCTCAGGAGTTGGAGACCGGCCTTGGCAACATGGCAAAACCCCGTCTCTAGTAAAAATACAAAAATTAAATAGGTGTGGTGGCACACACCTGTCGTCCCAGCTACTCAGGAGGCTGAGGCAGGAGGATCCCTTGAGCTCCGGAGGTGAAGGTTGCAGTGAGCTGTGATCGAGCTACTGCGCTCCAGCCTGGGTAACAGACTCAAAAACAAACAAACAAACAAACAAAGACTCTAGTTAAAAAAACAAAACAAAACGAGATATGCAAAGAAACAAGAAGTTAGGACCCATACACCATCCACAGGAAAAAAAAAAAAAAAAAAATCAATAGAAACTGTCCCCAAAGAAGCCAAAACATTGGACACTGGACTTACCAGGCAAAGATTTTAAGTCAATTATTTCAAATATGTTCAAACAACTAAAGGAAACTACATCTGAAGAACTAAAGTATGAGAATGACATCTCGTCAAACACAGGGTATCAATAAAGAGATAAAAATTGTAAAGAAGGACGAAATCAAAATTATGGAACTGAAAAGTATAATAATTCAGATTAAAAGTTAACCAGAGGGGCCAGGCATGGTGGCTCACGCCTGTAATCCCAGCACTTTGAGAGTCCGAGGCAGGTGGATCACCTGAGGTCAGGAGTTGGAGACCAACCTGACCAACATCGAGAAACCCCGTCTCTACTAAAAATACAAAATTAGCCAGGCATGGTGGCTCATGCCTGTAATCGCAGCTACTCAGGAGGCCGAGGCAGGACAATTGTTTGAACCCGGGAGGCGGAGGTTGCAGTGAGCTGAGATCGCGCCATTGCACTCCAGCTTGGGTGACAGAGCATATCTGACTAGGAGAAGGAGTCAGCAAACATGAAGATAGGTCCACTGAGATGGTTCGATATGAGGAAAAAAAAGAAAAAAAGAAGGAATAAGAAGGAGAGGAGCCGGCTGGGCGCGGTGGCTCACACCTGCAGTCTCAGCACTTTGTGAGGCCGAGGCGGGCGGATCACGAGGTCAAGACATCGAGACCATCCTGGTCAACATGGTGAAACCCCATCTCTACTAAAAATACAAAAAAAAAATTAGTTGGGCGTGGTGGCCTGTGCCTGTAGTCCCAGCTACTTGGGAGGCTGAGGCAAGAGAACTGCTTGAACCCTGGAGGCAGAGGTTGCCGTGAGCCGAGATTGAGATTGCACACACTGCACTCCAGTCTGGTGACAGAAGGAGACTCTGTTTCAAAAAAACAAAAATGAGCAGAGCCTCAGAGACCTGTGAGACACCACAAAAAGTGTAACACAGCTGGGTGCAGTGGCTTACGCCTGTAATCCCAGCATTTTGGGAGGCTGAGCCGGGCAGATCACCTGAGGTCAGGAATTCGAGACCAGCCTGGCCAACATGGGGAAACCCCATCTCTACTAAAAATATAAAAATTAGCTGGGCGTGGTGGCCTGTGCCTGTAGTCCCAGCTACTTGGGAGGCTGAGGTAGAAGAATCGCTTGAACCCGGGAGGCAGAGGTTGCAGTGAGCCGAGATCACCCCACTGCACTCCAGCCTGGGGGACAGAGCGAGACTCTGTCTCAAAAAAAAAAAAAAGTATTAAAATGGCTGGTGTGGTGGCTCACATCTGTAATCCCAACACTTTGGGAGGCTGAGGTGGGTGGATCATTTGAGGTCAGGAGTTTGAGACCAGCCTGACCAACATGGTGAAACCCCGTCTCTACTAAAAATACAAAAAAATTAGCTGGACGTGGTGTCGGGCGCCTGTAATCTCAGCTACTCAGGAGGTTGAGGCAGGAGAATTGCTTGAACCTGGGAGGTGGAGGTTGTAGTAAGTGGAGATTGCGCCACCGCCCTCCAGCCTGGGCGACAGAGCGAGACTCCATCTCCAAACAAAAACAAAAACAAAAACAAACCAAAACAAATAAAAGTATTAAAATAAAAGACCCTGCCACTCAATCTTTGTATACTGGCCGGGTGTGGGACTCAGGCCTGTAATCCGAGCACTTTGGGAGGCTAAGGCAGGAGGATCCCTTGAGCCCAGGAGTTGGAGACCAGTCTGGGCAACATCGCGAGATCCCATCTCTACAAAACATAAAAATTCAACATCCGGCAAAACTACGCTTTGAAAATGGAGAGATTTCCACTGCTGGGACAGCAATGCGAGGACCTTCGTGGAAGTACTTCCTGTGAAACAAGCAAAGCTGACTTAAACCATTTAAGGTCTCAAAACTGTCCTAAAGGCATGTTAACAGATAAACACTTATGGAGTAAAATCTACCGACGCCTGGTACGAACAGTGAGCCTGGTGGCATCTGAACCTCAGCCTCCTCTTTCCCTCTCACCCCAGCTCGCCATGATGGGCACTACACTCAGGGAAGGGGAGCAGGAAGATGGGGACCCTTCTCCCCTCAGTTCCCGAGTAAGGTTTCCCGGATCTCACAGGCTGGGCAGACCACCAGAGTTTCTCATCCTCACCGACTCCAAGCTGAAGAGACTAAGCTGCTGGAGCATGTGGCCAAGACGCCAGGGGCTCCCTCCTCCACCTTGCCCACGCCTCAGAGAGGAGCTCTGCCACAGCCACAGCAGGCTGAGGACACCCAGGTCTCTGACCACCCTCCCGGCAGCTCCCACCTGATTAAAGCATTTTCAAAACCACTTTTTTTTTT